TGTGGCTCAGAAGTGGAGCTGCCAGTACCACTGGAAGCAGCTTAACATGCAGCACCACCACCACTCAGCCCCAATCACACGTTTACAATGCCTAAGAACAATACAAGGATATGAGATATTACAAAGAGTTATATCCAAATGATAGGATATTATTCAGTCACAACAAAATAACAGCTTAGTGATCCATATTGCAATCTTACAGACAGTATGCTAAGTGAAGGAAGCCAAATCCCAAAGGCCACAAATAATATTATCCAATTTTTATGAGCTAATCTCCCAAAAACCTATAGAGGCAAAGGTTAATCAATGGAGAAAGGGAAAGTGACTACAAATGGAGGGGAAAATGTCCTAGCATTAGACAGTGGTTACGGGTGACCAACCCTGCACACCTACTAAAACCCATGGAGTCGTATGCTTTAAGGAGTGAAGTTAATAGGGAGTGGTGCTGTGGCATAGTAGGCTAGGCTTCTGCTGTTCAGTGTCCACTGCTCCACTTCTAGTCCAGCTCCCTGCTAAAGGCCTGGGAAAGTAGTAGAGGATGGCTCAAGCCCTTGGGTCCCTGCACTCACAAGGGAGACCCAGAGGCTCCAGGCTTTGGATTGGCTCAGTTCCAGCCACTGTGACCACTTGGGGAGTGAACCAGTCGATGAAAGATCTCTGTGTTGGGCCCAGCGGCGTGGCCTAGCGGCTAAAGGCCTCACCTTGAATGCGCTGGGATCCCATATGGGGGCCAGTTCTAATCCTGGCAGCTCCACTTCCCATCCAGCTCCCTGCTTGTGGCCTGGGAAAGCAGTCGAGGACGGTGCAAAGGCTTGGGACCCTGTACCCATGTAAGAGACCTGCAAGAGGTTCCTGGTTCCCGGCTTCGGATCGGCACAGCACCGGCTTTTGCGTATGGGATCCCGGCGTTCAAGGCGAGGACTTTAGCCACAAGGCCACGCCGCAAGGCACAAGATGCATTTATTTTTATGGAAAATCAGATTTACATAGACAAGCAGAGACAGGGACAGAAAGATCTTCGATCTGCTTGTTCATTCCCCAAGTGACCACAAGGGCCAGAGCTGAGCTGAGCTGAGCTGAGCTGTGCATCATGCCTTCGCCTGCAGTGCCATAATCCTATATGGGAACCAGTCCATGTACAGCTGCTCCACTTCTGGTTCAGCCTCCTGCTTGCAGCCTGGGAGAGCAGCAGAGGATGGCCAAAGTGTCTGGGGTCTTGCAGAAGCACTCCTGGCTCCTGGCTGCAGATCAGCTCCACTTTGGCCTTTGTGCCTATGTGAGGAGTCAACCAGGGCATGAAAGATCTCCCCCCTCTCTGTGTCTTTCCTTCTCTCTATAATTCTGCCTTTCAAATAAAAATGAAATAAACCGTAAAAATTAGAAAACGCTACCATAGTGCCAGGAAGGCCTTAGCTGTATCATGTAAATACGACCCATTAGTGCTGATTTCAGAAGGAGGGAGAAAGACAGGCATTCAGCCTACTGGTTCAAGTGCCACTTGGGGAACCTACATCACATATGGGAACATGCAGAGTCCTGGCTCCATTCTAATTCCAGCTTCCTGACAATGCACACGTTAGGGAGCACCAGGTAATGGATTTTCATAGGCGAGTCCTGATACCCCAGTGGGAAACCCAGACTGAGTCCGGAGCTGCCGGCCTCAACCTGGCCCCAACGCAGCTCCTGCAGGCAGTTAGAGTGAACCAGGGACTGAGATGTCCTCCTTGAGAGAGAGAGAGAGAGAGAGAGAGAGAGAGAGAGAACAGAAACAAGAACCAGGGGTCTGTTAACACCGCATCATTATCCACACAAAAGGAGCACCTCATTCTGCCAGCGAGAGTGTTAAGTGCTCTACATTTGCAGTAATATCTGGACACTTAAGTATAATCACTGCCTATCAGAGAAATGGAGAATCAGAGAGGGTGAGTAACTTGTCCTAAATCATCCAAATGACAACTTGCAAAGCCAACATACAATCCCAGGACTTATCCATACTGAAGATATACTGTTCAACCAATAAGAAAAGAGGCATTCTCATATAAAAGGGAAAACACTCCATGGGAGAAACTAGTTCTTAATTCCTGGTCCATCACATGGAAGCTACTGAAACTCCCTAAGCAAATGTCTTTATACAATATGGAACAAAGCGCATCAGGGCTTCTATAACGATCACAGAATGGAATACTTTCAACACTCTGTAAATCTAAACTATACCAACGCAGAGGAGAGATTTTACACACACAAACACACACACACACACACACCCCCTCTGGACTTGAAGTTCATGGAAAAATGCAACCAAGGTAACACTGCTTTGGTGCAAAAAAACGTTTTTAAATCAAGGCAGTTTTTTCACAATATGTACTTTACTTGAACTTTCTAAAGTTCCCTCACATATCCATAGATACAACCAAGTCTAATTAATATTCTTTGAGGAAACACGGCAAAGTTTGAACAAACTTACATTTTTACTCCTTACAAGTTTCTTGGTTAACACACTTCCTAGTCACATTATTTTGTCAGATTTCTTTTTTTTATTATGATTTATTTATTTTTATTGGAAAGTCAGATATAGAGAGGAGAGGTGGCGAGATGGAGAGGAAGATCTTCCGTCCACTGATTCACTTCCCAAGTGGCCACAACAACCAGAGCTGAGCTGATCCAAAGCCAGAAACCAGGAGCTTCCTCCAGGTCTCCCACACAGGTGCAGGGTCCCAAGCTTTGGGATGTTCTCCACTGCTTTCCCAGGCCACATGCAGGGAGCTGGATGGGAAGTGGAACGGCTGGGACACGGACTGGTGTGCTCACATGGGATCCCAGGGTGTGCTAGGCAAGGACTTTAGCCACCAGGTAGGCTACCACCCTGGCCCCATTTTGTCAGTTTTCTTATATGTATTTAAGAAGGGCAATGAGTATGAGAAAACATATATACATAGATGCACAACACTGAGCAAACTCGAAGCTCTGATACTCAACAGAGAAAAAGTTGTTTTAAAAGCCTGAGGAGTTGGGATCCAGTGCAGCGTGGCCTAGTGGCTAAAGTCCTCACCTTGAAAGCACCGGGATCCCATATGGGCACTGGATCTAATCCTGGCAGCCCCGCTTCCCATCCAGCTCCCTACCTGTGGCCTGGGAAAGCAGTCAAGGACGGCCCAAAGCTTTGGGACCCTGTACTCCCATGGGAGACCAGGAAAAATCTGGTTCCTGGCTTCAGATAAGTACAGCACTGGCAGTTACAGTCACTTAGGGAGTGAATCATCGGACTGAAGATTTCCTCTCTGTCTCTCCTACTCTCTGTATATCTGACTTGGCAATAAAAATTAAATAAATATATTTTTTAAAATGCCTGAGGGACCAGAGCCATGATATAGTAGGTTAAATCTCTGTGGTGCCAGTATCCCATATAGGAGCCAGTTCATGTCCTGGCTGCTCCACTTCTGATCCAGCTCCCTGCTAATGCGGCTGGGAAAGCAGCGGAAGATGACCCAAGTGCCTGGGCTCCTGCACCCATGTAGGAGACACCAACTAGGCTCCTGGCGACCTGCGGGCCCAGTCTGGCCTTTGCGGCCATTTGGGGAGCAAGCCAGCTGATGGAGACTTCTTGTTCCTTCTCTTTCTGCAAATCAGCCTTTCAAATATAAAATAAAAATATTTGAAAAATTAAAAGTTATATTACCCCCCCTAAGCAACAGGTTTTCAAACGTAGATAACTAAATATTCTGGGTTGTTATATTTCAGTTTAAAAGAAGCATATGACCTATGTGCCATTTAGTAATTTTTTCTTTTAAATTATAGGCATCACTATTTTTGAAAATAATACTACTCAAATAGCCACTGCCGGAAAAAAAAAGGACAAAGAAAAAATGTATTGCACAATAACACACTATTTAGCTAAATCTAAATTCTTCTCCAAACTGTTACTTTTTTGTGAACTTTTTTTTCCCTATCAGGTAGGTAAGTCTGCTCATTACAAAGTAACTAGTCGGCAAAGCCTAACAAAACCAAAGCCCGGCAACCCTATGGCTGGGGCACCGACGCCCCATATGGGAGTGCCCGAGGTGGATTCCTGGCCCCAGCTCCTGCTGTGTGGACTCTGGAAGAAACCCAGGATGGCTCCCCTCCTCGATCCGCCACCCCTGCACGAGGTGTGGTCTCAACTCCAGCTTCCAGCTTTGGGTTGGCCAGGCCCCAAGCCCCGGGCTTTGGGAGTCAAACCAGAGGCCTGCTTCTCCAAACCAACAACAACAAAAAAAAAAAAAAAAGGAAAATTTGAGAAAGGAAGATTCAGGTTACAAGATGTAAAAGAACCAACGAGAAAAACATTTTCCTGTGCTGCAGAAAAATCTCTCCAGTAATTGTTTCCACAAAATAGTACCATGCAACTCCGCCCCTTCTCCCCCCCCAAAACAATAAAAATCTGCACACGCTGGTACGGACATCCAGCTGAACCTTGGAAAGTTTCAGAAGTTAACTGGATTCCTTTTCTCTGAACACTGAGGTCAGACAATACAAAATGCAAGGAAAACTAGGACCCAGGCAAGATAACAAAGCCAGTAAGAGAACCAAGGACTCTGCGCCGTCAAGGCCGAGTCGGCCGTGAAGAACCAAATTCCAGCTCCTGCCTCCTCCAAAAGTTATCTGGCTGTCAGCGAAGCACGGCCCACCTTCCTTGTTTTCATTCGGTGACACCTTTCCCGGCCCACCTAAACATCCCTCCTCTAACCGCGAGCAATTCCAGAAATTGAAACTTAAAAAGAGTTCTGTGAAGGCACTTGGGATGAATACGCAAGCCAGAAAACCGTGGCATCAAAGGGTTGGAGTAGTGGGGAGCTAAGGGCCGACTCGGAAACTGGATGCTCTCTAGGACCTGCCCCGGGCCCCTTCGGGGCTGCAGGGAAGGCCCGGCCGGCGCCCGGAACCGGTGTCTACCCCGGCCACCGCTGCCCGGCCACCGCTGCCCGGCCACCGCTGTCCGGCGCGCGGCGGCCCGGCCTCCTCACCTTCCGCGTCTGCAGAGGAGACGAAGGTGAAGTCCCCGTTCGTGGGGGCGTACGCGGGGGGCGGGCCCGGCGGCTGCATCTCGCGGCCCCTCCGAGGCGCTCGCGGCGCGCACCCACACACCGGCCTCGCCCACGGCCTGGAGCCGAGAGCTACGGGGCGGCCACCAGGCTGGACGCGAGCGAAGCGGGCCGCAGAGCTGACCGCAGGCCGGCCCCACCACCCAAGTCCTCCCGGTGGCAACTGCCCGAGCCTCACGGCGTCGGCGCCCTGACAGCACCATCACAGTGACAGCGCCGCGTGGATTGGCTATTTGTAATGTGCGCTCCCATTGGTTCCCGGGGAAAGGTTCTGATTGGCCTTCCTGTTGTTGACTCCGGAAGTCTCCCCGGGCAGGAAGTGCACTCAGTCACCGTTCTCCTTGTTGGCTGTTTTTGTTCATTTTTGATGTCTGTCTCTTACAGGTTTAGTTTCCCTGCTTCTTCCGTTTGTGTTAACTGAGTAGGTTAAAGAGGTTTAGAAGTACATGGGCTTCTAGAGTTCAGCTCCCCTCCCCCTTGTAGATTCCCAAATTCCATTGTCATTTAGTAATTACTTAATTGTATGGGATTGTCACTAATCCTTACCTTCCAAACCTGAGAAGCAGTAGGGGCTACATTGAAGAAAAAGTAGTAAGAAAACAAGACCTAGAGACTAGCATTGTCTTGTAGTCGCCACTCCTTTGTGAGGGACGCAAGTGAGGCCAGAGAAGCATAGGACACAGAATCCCCACAGGTCATTGCTTGTTTTCGCTGGGGCCTGTCAATAAATTCACCAATGTCTGCAAAGTCCGCGCAGTTTTTAAGTGTTTGAACGTGTTTATATTTTAAAAAACTATAAACATGACATCTTCAGGGAATGCTAACAGACTTGGAGAAGTATATGGTCACAGTAGGGCAATGGGAGGTATGACCGTTAACAAAACAGACTTTGAAGAAAGGTTTCTTGCGGGAGATAAGAAGTTGGTATTTAAAGGATGAGTAAAACTTTACAGGCCAAGTGATTGGCAGTCAGTCACAAGTTTCCAGATGTCAAGCAGACTTGGGCCCTGGAAGATGATGGATTTACTTGGAGTTGATGCTTCATGGGAAAGAAAGTCTCCAGATGAGACTGCAAAGATATGTAAAAAGCAACTAATAGTCAAACCAATAAGAAAGTAGAGTTGGGCTGGTGTAGTGCATAGCGAGTTGGGATACCCACATCCCATAAGGGGGCCAATGCATATTCCAGCCGCTTTTATTTCAAATCCAGCTGTCTGCTCATGTTCCTGAGAAAGCAGCAGAAGATGGACCAAGTGCATGGCCCGCTGCCACTGATGAGGGTCCAATTGATGTATTACACCCAGTCATTGTGGCCGTTTCAAACCAGCATATGGAAATTGTCTCTGTTTCTCTCCCCACCCCCACCCCTCTCTGCCATTCAGATGTTAAAAAAAATTACACAGGATTCATCAGTTGAAAGAGATTGGGAGTGAAGAATAGGATAAGAATGATTTCACATTTCTTGCTCAAGTGGTTAATCAACTGAAGAAACAGGAAGAGGAGCTGCTCTGTGGAGACAGCAAAGTTTAGAGAACTATAAGTTTAATATGTATGACCATTCAGTTATTCTTAGTTCATAGGGATCTAATACTCAGGGCAGAGTTTTCAATTGGACATATGGTGTGGCAGTCAGCAGCGCATGCTTGCTAATTATATCTTTAGTAAGTAAGGGTGAGCTTGTCTAGGTAATGTGTACTGAGGGAACAAATGCCAGGAATTCTATTCCCCAGATGTCTTCTTCAGTGGGTGGGCCTCAGAATGGCCAAGGCCAGGAGTGTAAACACACAGGCCTCTCCTTTGGAGAGCAGGAACACAGTTTTTTGATCCATCCCCTCTTCCTTCCAGGATGCATGTTAGCAGGAAGCCCGAATTAGCATCACAGCCAGATGCAACCTCAAGCACGCTGATATGGGACACAGGCATCCCAAGTCATGTTGATTAGGCCAAAGTCTACCCCTCCTTTTGTTTATACTGTTTGTAATTTATCAGACAACGTGAGCCTCTAGTTTGTCATGTTGACACTTGTTGCCTTGTCTAATACTATTTCTGCTACTCTATTCACTCCATCTACTCTTTCTTTCTCTCTCTCTCTTTCTTCTTCTTCTTCTTCTTTTTTAGACCTGAGAAGCAGACACAGAAAACAGGACTTTTACCAAGTGCTTCATTCTTCCCGTTGCCTGCAATGGCTGAGCTGGAGCCTTTATGTACCTGCAGTGGTGAAGTCTGGAACTGGGGATGAATCCACGTCTTGAACAGGAGTGCCAGGGCCCTTGGTACTTGAGCCATCCCCAGCTGCCACCCGGCGGTCTGCTTTGGGGAAAGATGGAATTGAAACCCAGACAATTAAACTCCAATATTTAATGCTGGCATCTTACTCATCAGGCCAAGGACCGGCTTCAGGCCCCTCCTTCTGAAATTCCAATTAGCGATACAGTACCAATAGATAATAGAGCTAACAGTTTGAGGCATCATGGTAAAAGTTTTATGTTAGTCGGTTGGATCCTCGTGATGACTTTATGAAGTGGACACTGTAATCTTCCCCACATGTAATATAAGAAACATGGCAAAGAAAAAAGTTAATCACTTGACAGAGACTCTAAAAGGGACAACTAAGAGGCTCCAGGAATGAGAAGGCAGAAGGCCTCTCACCCACGGTGTGCTCTTGGCCCCCAGTGTGTCCTTGGATGTGCGTGCATGCTCTCCTTGAACATCTGTGCTCTGTCTGGTCAATCAAGGATGGACAGTACTTTTTTTATCTATTCCCTGTTTCAATAACTCTTTGACTAAGTCGTCTTGTAAACTTGTTTGTACTCTCTATTCTTAGACATGACTTAATTCTGAGTTATGTTTGAACTATTGTTTCACAAAATGTATAAAAACTGAAACTCTGGGGGCCCGGCGCAGTGGCACAGTGGTTAAGGCCTTGCATGCCCGGGATCCCATATGGGTGCTGGTTCTAATCCTAGCAGCTCCACTTCCCATCCAGCTCCCTGCCTGTGGCCCAGGAAAGCAGTCAAGGACGGCCCAAAACTTTGGGACCCTGCACCTGCGTGGGAGACCTGGAAGAAGTTCCTGGATCCTGGCTTCGGATCGGCAGAGCACTGGCCGTTGCGCTCACTTGGGGAGTGAATCATCGGACGAAAGATCTTCCTCTCTGTCTCTCCTCTCTGTATATCTGCCTTTCCAATAAAAAATAAAATAAATCTTTAAAAAAAAAAAGCTGAAACCCTGGAAATAAACTTTGTCAGATGCCAAAAGAGAGCGCTGTCGCCTCTGTTCCCTTTTTGATGTTTACATTTTTTCTATTTGTTTGTGGAAGTTGTGTTCTTGGGTTGTGTGTTGTTGTTGTTGTGGATTGTGGCTGTGTACAATTTCATTACACCGGGGTAGGTAACCTGCAGTACTCACCGTATAACATAAAAAGGAAAATTTTTTCTCAATGTAAATACACGAGTATTGCTGTCCCCACTAACCACTGTGTCAATGAGAATATAATCCTCGTAAAGTTTCTGTATCATTTCTTCAAACCAGAACACTGGAGAGGAGAGTATTTTCAGCCTTCAATTCTTTCTACTAGAATCTTATTTGAGAAACTCACGTCCACACTTGGCTCTTTAAATAAAGGTTTTGTTGACTTTCAAGGAGTAGTCTCAATGCTGCATTTATTTGTTAATCTCACATTCATGTTGAAATGTGAAGAGGGCTCATTTACTCAAAGTAGTATGATAGTCACTGGAAGCAACTCAACCCTAAGTGGGATACCCATGGCTTGTTTGCTTTTGTTCTTATGTATTTAACTGTCTTATTTCCTTAAAATAAATATGTGCTTATTGAAAACTAGTTCTATTACCTGTATTGATAACTGTTGTTAACATCATGGTATAAATCCCTAAAATTATTTTACTAAGCATCATTCATACATATTATCTTCTTCCAAAGAGATTGTTTCATAACATTAGCATTTTCTGATTTTACCATATATTTTCCTGCAACATTTTAAATATTGCATTTTGTTTAATGAGTATGTTATACTTTGTTAAAATAGACCTTTGGGGACTGGAATTGAAGCATAGGTTAATCTGTGACTTGGGATGCTGGCATCTCATACTGAAGTGCCAGTGTACAAATTTTCATGTGTACAAACTTGGAACAAATTTCTGGCTCTTGGCTTTGGCCTGGCCCAGCCCTTGCTGTTGTGACAGATGGAAGATCTTTCTGTCTCTTCTTCTCTCTGATTTTACAATAAATAGATCTCTTTTTTTAAAAAAAAAGCCTAAAAACTACAAAATATAATTGACTTTTCAAAAAGTCATTGACTTATTTGAAAGGCAGAGTGATGGAGAGGGAGAGACAAAGGTTTCTTCCATCCTCTGTTTCCTGTTGAGATGTCCTCCAGCAGCCGGTCAGGCCAAGCCAAAGGCAGGAGCCAGGACTCCATCTAGGTCTTCCACACGGGCAGCAGGAACCTGAGTTCTTGTGCCATCATCTGCTGCTTCCCGGGGCCACTAGTCTCCCATGGGTGCAGGGTCCCAAGGCTTTGGGCTGTCCTCAACTGCTTTCCCAGGCCACAAGCAGGGAGCTGGAATGGAAGTGGAGTGGCCAGGATATGAATCAGTGCCCATATGGGATCCTGGTGTATGCAAGGTGAGAATTTAGTCACTAGGGTACTGTGTTTGGGCCCATGAGATGGTGTTAAAGAACAAAACAAATGAAAGTTGTAACACACACACACACACACACCAAAAAAAAAAAAAAAAAAAAAGGAGCCAGTCACAAAGGATGATGCATCATACAGTACCATTTATCTGAAATGTCCTCAACAGACAAAGCAATGGAGACCAGAAGCAGATAAAGAGTAGCTTAGGGGCCCGGTGGCGTGGCCTAGCGGCTAAAGTCCTCACCTTGAATGCTCCGGGATCCCATATGGACACTGATTCTAATCCCGGTGGCCCCACTTCCCATCCAGCTCCCTGCTTGTGGCCCAGGAAAGCAGTTGAGGACGGCCCAAAGCTTTGAGAACGTGCACCCGTGTGGGAGACCTGGAGGAAGTTCCTAGCTCCTGGCTCCAGATCAGTATAGCACCAGCTGTTGTGCTCACTTGGGGAGTGAATCATTGGACGGAAGATCTTCCTCCGTATCTGTCCTCCTCTCTGTATATCTGACTTTGTAATAAAAATAAATAAATCTTAAAAAAGAAAGAGTAGC